GTTCTTCTCTCTTTCGCGCGTCTGAATATGATGGCCAGACGCTATGATTACAACCAAAGAACTGCGTTCGATGCTGATCTTTGTGTCCAAAGCGGCTGGCGATGCTTCTACGGGCCATTGAAAACGTCTTAGTGGGTCCGGCTGTCCCATGCTACTCGAGAGAGGCACTGAGAGGACTTGTAGAGAAAGCACATCCTATGGACAAGGACCACACTCTTAGTTGGGTAAACGCGTTGTCGTCGTCGTGGGCGTTGGCAGTTGCCCTCAAAAGCTACTCTTTTAGTAGCCATCGCACATGTTACTTGAAGCCACGTCGAAACTCACCGCTCGAGACCGTCGTATGTAGCAAGTCGGCGAGGTAGCAGACAGAACACCATTGTCCATTCTACAAGCAATCACATCCAAGGCGACCGAGTTACGAAGGTCAGTCTCACGGCGGGCGCGTGGGATCGCTGTCGAAGGAAACGCAAGCGTCAAAACATACGGTAGCACGCGACGCCCAGCTGCTACTCTCGTGGCGTCGATATCAGAATAAACACGCACATAGAGCTGCACCTAGAGGTGGAAGCCACATCGATCGCGCCTACTCTTCATGCTGCCATCCACCCGCGCATGGCGCCGTGTCCACATCGATGACAAGGAGACTGGACGCGATTGAAGCCAGACGACCAATGTCGAGCTATACATGTACTCATAGGTGGTGGTGACGTAACAGCCTATTTACGACCACGTGCGTAGTGCGGAATGGGATTGGCGGGCTCAACGCTGCTGCTTTTTCATTCTGGCGTCTGCCGTAGACGCGTTCAGCGCCACGTGGTGGTGTGCGGACGATCGGTGTCGGAGGTGTCGAGTTACTCGCTCCCTTGGTCAATAAACAAATGGGATGATGGGGTCGCACCGCTCGAGCTGCTAGGGTTCGATCCTCGCCAGCGATAAAAAGTGTACCCAAGGCTCTCGTCTCCACTGGCGACGAGACCATACGAGTGACGTTGGACGTAGTACTACGCGTGGTGTTGACAGGCGTTCTCGGTGCCCGATCAGCTTTTGGCGTGCAGCCGCTTCAACGACGATGGTGTGTGCAACCGAAGTTTTCTCGAAGCAACATCCCACGGCTTGCGGCTTCAACGGCAAACTCAAGACTGTGGCCTTTCCCTTCGAACTTCGATTTGGGCCCTGTCACCTTCTTTAGCATCATTTGTGCATTCGGCTGCCCGAGTCAACGACGACGACGACGATGGCGATGGCAATGAGCAGCTACAACCACATCTTTGTCGAGAATATGGTCGACGGCGAAGGCGACAAGCCATCGCGCATCCTGCGGCAAGACCAGCTCCTCATGCCGCATCTGTACCAGCCGACGAAAGGCTGCCACGCGTGCCACGAGTGCACCAAGGCGTTTACGACCTTTCGCCGCAAGCACAACTGCCAAATGGTATTGCGACTTCTGCATCATCGTCATTCCTGCATCTCACAATCGCATCTAGTGCGGCTATGTCGTCTGCAAGAACTGCACGCTCGCACACGTCGCCGAGGTCTCGAAGGATGTCTTGGACGTCAAGGTCTGCCTCTCGTGTGTCGCCCACCTGGAAGCGGAGCACCGGCTTCGCCGCACCGGCACGTCGTCGTCATTGCGGTCGTCAACCGAGCTCCACCGGCGGCACTCGTCGCGCTCCAACATGTCGGTCCACTCGGAAGACGACGTCGGCGAGGCCAACCTCTTCCAGCTCTCGCTGCGCGGGAAGGACGCCATGATTCGCCGCCCGTCGAGCTCGATGGAGTATGCGCTCGACTATAGCTGGAAGCACAAGTGGCCCAAGCCACCGACGCTGCCGTTGGAAGCGGATCGGCTCGTCGTGCTCAAGAGCTTCG